TGGCAGGAATAGCCAACACTCCAGAAGATAGGCTTAAGATACAGAAGGATCTTGACAGACTTGAACATTGGGCAAAGTGAACAAAATGAAATTCAACAGTGAAAAAAGCAAGGTTCTACATTTAGGGAAGAAAAACAAAATGCACAGGTACTGTATATGTGGTACCTTGCTCAACAGTAGTAACTGTGAGAGGGATCTTGGAGTCCTAGTGGACAACCATTTAGATATGAGCCAGCAGTATGCAGCAGCTGCCAAAAAAGCCAACATAGTTCTGGGCTGCATAAACAGAGGGATAGAATCAAGATCATGTGATGTGTTAATACCACTTTATAATGCCTTGGTAAGGCCACACTTGGAATATTGCATTCAGTTTTGGTCGCCACGAGGTAAAAAAGATGTTAAGACTCTAGAAAGAGTGCAGAGAAGAGCAACAAGGATGATTAGGGGACTGGAGGCTACAACATATGAAGAACGGTTGCAGGAACTGGGTATGTCTAGTTTAATGAAGAGAAGGACTAGGGGAGACATGATAGCAGTGTTCCAATATCTCAGGGGTTGCCACAAAGAAGAGGGAGTCAAACTATTCTTCAAAGCACCTGAGGGTAGAACAAGAAGCAATGGGTGGAAACTAATCAAGGAGAGAAGCAATTTAGAACTAAGGAGAAATTTCCTGACAGTTGGAACAATTAAGAAGTGGAACAACTTGCCTGCAGAAGTTGTGAATGCTCCAACACTGGAAATTTTTAAGAAGAGGTTGGATAATCATTTGTCTGAAGTGGTGTAGGGTTTCCTGCCTGGGCAGGAGGTTGGACTAGAAGACCTCCAAGGTCCCTTCCAACTCTGTTATTCTATTCTATTCTATTATAAAATCCTCCCTTCTTCATCTGTAAAAATTTGCTTAACATTTATTGTTTCTTTTATGTAAAGGGCTACTCCTCTCTTCTTATGTTGTGATAAAGAGGTGTATAGTTTCCCAATTTTGGGATATTCCAATAGTTTATTGTGTTGTTTTTTTAATATGAACCTCTTGCAGGCAAATTATATCCAACTTTAATTTTTCTAGTTTACTAAAAATCCTTTTACTTTTTATAGAAGAATTTAGTCCATTTATGTTAATTGACAGTAATTTTATTTCTTCTTCTATGGTTTTATTTATAGATTGGTTTTGTTGTTCTAGTCGCTCTGGTCCCTCTCTGTTCTTTTGCCTTTGATCCTTCTCTATTTGCTATTTCCTCTACCTCTCTTTCATCTTCTTTTTGTTGTATATATCTCTCTCCTCTGGTTTCCTCTTGTTGTCTATCCTCTTTTTCCTCTCCTACTCTCTTTTCCTCTTGTAATCCAAAATAATGATCATAACATTGTTCTGCCTTTTTCTATGGAATCCAGTCTATGTCTTTGCTCTATCCAGGTCACGATTATTCCCTCCGGTATCAGCAATTTAAAATTTACTCCATGCTTAATGAGCTGTCTTGTTAGAAATTGATATTCCTTTCTTATATCTCTTACTCTTCTGGGGATCTGTTTTAGGACTAATATTTCTTTCCCTTTGTATTTTAAAGGATCATCTCTCGCTCTTTAAAAGTCTGTAATCAACCTCTTCCACTCTTTTCTGTTTGTTCAGCTTTCTCTTCTACTTTCTGAATGTGTTGTTTATTTTTAGTCATTATTTGTTGAAGATTCTCTATTTTGTTCTCTACTTTTCCTATTCTTTCCTTAATATCTTTATGCATGGCTTGAATCAACACTTTCATCTCTGCCTGCATCGCATTTGTTTTCTCTTAATGTCCAATGACCTTTGATGTGCTGGACTAGATGCTGATGCTGAGGATGCTGAGGATGGTGCAGATGTAGTTTTCTTCATTTTGAAATGCTTTAATAGTTTTAAACCAATTATTGAAAATAATAACTACAATACCCCAACAGCCCCAATATTGACCGCCAACTTCACTATCTCTTTCCAATTTCCCCTTTTACAAAGTTATTCAGGAGTCTAAATATTGTATTCAATATTACAGTATCCCGTTTCCTTCTTCCTTCTTCTTATCTTCAATCTCCAAAAAGGGCCATTGTTTTTATTTTATTTATTTTATTTTTTTAATTGTAATCTCAGAGGAGCATAATTATAATCCACAAAAAAGAAGTGAAACTGTTAATTATAATCCAAGAGGAAAGTGAAAATATAAATTATAATCCAAGAGTTATTAGACTGTTAGCCCCTTCATTCTTCAAAAAGTATTCTCCTCTTCTCTTATTAAATTTATAATCCACATAGGCCTACCAAGCCCCATAATTCAACCATCAACTATCTTGTATCTTCAAAGGGAGAGTTTACAGAGCAGAAAATAAAATAAAAGGAAAATATTTTGCTGTTTTCAGCTTCTTTTTGCTTTATCTGTTTAGATTCTGCTTAAGTTCTAAGAGCTGCTCTGTTTTTAAAAAGTCTCAGTGTTCCACTCTCTGTCTCAGCTATCTAACATGAACAGTTTATTGGTGTAGGTCTTATTTGTTTTAACAGCCAGTCTTTATCTTCTTCAGCCTCTTAAGTTATGTTTCCTTTCCTTCTCACTTGCACCTCTCAACATTTCCTTCTGCCTGTAGTGTCACTGTTGCTCTGCTTCTCTCCCTTCTCTTCCTTTTTATTTTATATTGAATTATCCAGTCAAGGTTTTTCAAAAAAGGTTCTCTAAATCCAAATTATATAGTCCCCAAAAGCTTCCAAGTTAGTCAATCTTATATTTGAGGTCCCCAATCCAGCTTCCTAGTTTTAAAGTACTTTCGCTCTTTAAAAAGTTCTCTTATCTTTCTTTCCAGTTTTAAAAATGGCTCTCAGGCTTGCTCGCTGCTTTTCTTGGGAGGTGGAGGGAAAACAATTCCACTTCTCCTTTTTGGGTCCCACTTTCACCCAGGCTAATTTCCAGGGGGCTTGTTTCTCAATCGAAGTTAGAAGTTAGAAATCTCTCACCCAGATCATTCACACTGTTCCTCAGTCTTTCATGTTTTCTTCATTGGTCAGCTGTCACAGCTTTGGTCAGGCATGCAATGCCTGTCTTTTTCTTCCTGCCAGATTGAGATCCTTCTCCAGATTAATCAGGGAGATTGTGGACTCCCTGAGATCGACAGAGTGTGCTCTCTTACTTTATCACCCCTCCAAGGTGATTTAGGTCCATCTGAGCCTCCTTGCAGTTTGAATTTCAGAGTGATCCCACAGAGCCCCATGGAGATGCATCATGTCTCCCGGCAACTTGATCTATTTAGTGAAATCCCTAAACACTGTAAATAATTATCTGACCTGGTATGGAGATACAATTGTCAACTGCATTTATAAATTGGTATTCACTGGCTCTATCACTTTTTCTCTAGTTTTCAAATCACAATAGAAATATCTGGGTACACCTAGATAGTGTTTTCTTGTGCCCTGCCCCCATGCCAAGGTCTATACTAAAGATGTATATTTATAAAACCTAATTTCTCTTAATACAGTTAGTTGGTTGGTTGGTTGGTTGGTTGGTTGGTTGGTTGGTTGGTTAGTTAGTTAGTTAGTTAGTTAGTTAGTTAGTTATCAGATGCTTTCTGATTCTGGGGTTTCCTAGAGAATGCATGTCCTCAGGGCTCTTTGTGGTTGGATATATCCCAGTTACACATCTGAATCATGTCCTTTGAAATTCCATATCTATTGAAACCTTGAAAATGAATTGATATTTTGATTTTAGTGTTTTTTTATAAGAAATTAAAGGAAACAAATTGAAAGTAATTATTGATGAGATTTGATGGATTATTTTCAAAGCTATGAAGTTACTTTCTTTTATTATAAAACTTATTAGATTTATATACCACCATTCAGCCAGGACTTCAAGGCAGCATACATACTATTTTCTTCTCTTTGTTTTTGCCACAACAATTGTGTAAGGTAGGCTGGGCTGGGAGAAAGTAACTATATCAGTTTAAGGCAGTGAATTTCTACAGCTGTAACTGTACTAGAACCTGTATTTTCCAAATGCCAACCCATCGAGTTCACAACTATGCTATGCTGATGTTATTTCTGGTACACCGGACATGATGGATATATTGAATAAAAACTGATTACATACAATGTGTTGTTGTTGGAAGTTTAATTCAGGGATTGCAATGCTAACTCATATGGCTTGGCTCCAATCTAGCATTTTCAAATTTTGGTCGGAAATTCTTAAGAGGGTTGGTATCAGTGGTGAAATGCTACCACTTCGCACTGGTTTGGGTGAACCGGTAGTGATAAAAGCTACCAGTTTGAGCAAACCGGTAGTTTAAAAAAGCTACCGGTTCCTTCGAACTGGTATTTCCAATGATCAGCTGTGCTGCGCAATTTAAAATTGCTAGAAAGCAGAAAAACTTTCTAGCAATGCTTTCTAGCTAATCTAAATCGTGCAGCACAGCTGATCCCCCCTCTCGCTGCTCTACTTACCTTCCCAAGCCTTCTTTTGGCACGTACTGTGCATGCGCACGCATGCAGTGTGCATTTGGTGTGCCCTGTGCATGCACACACATGCAGCATACATTTGGCACGCAGCACACATACACACACACACATAGCATGCGCTTGGCATGTGTGCTTGGCACACAGTGCACATGCACAGCCAGCGAACCAGTGGCAAATTCAGATTTCACCACTGGTTGGTATGACTTTAAAGATGGATTGTTGCTTGTCATCAATGGATATGTTTTCCTTGACTACATACCAGTATTTGCAATTTATCAAGACATCAAGATGCAATAGCCTAAGTATCATGCAACACTGCAAAATAAATCAATACCTAATTTGCAGCTTGACTGCTGGTAAGTATATATTAGCTCATGATTTGAATGAGTTCTTTTTAACAGAAATGTAATCCAATCCATTTTATTGATTTAACTACAGTATGTAAGTAATGTGTATTAATTTTAATCTTAATAACCAGGATTTTTAAATAAATTTCTAATATTGCTCATAAATTTTGGAAATCATTGTTCAGTAACATAATACTTACCAGTATTGTAATGCTTTGTGCAATAACCAAGCTCCTTTTCTTCTTTCAAAATAAACTGTGGCAGAGTTAAGCCTTCTGCTACTTGTACTGGACCATCACTCATCCATTCAAATATCAGATCATTCATTGTATAGCCAACTATAACAAACAAATTATTTGTTATTAGATAATAATGCATAGAGTTGCTACAACAGGCAAATAGCAACAGTAGAAAATTATTTAATTTCTGACTGAGAAAGCATCAGTAATAAATAAATACATTCAGATTATGGTTAATGCATGGACTGATGTCAATAAATAATATAACATCAATAAATTAGGAATATTTTAAACTTGGGGAACATTTGACCATAGCAAAGATATATTAAAGTGAAATGCATAGGATTTTCTACATCTTATTTATTTTATTTATTTATTAATTTTATTTCTATACCACCCTTCTCCCGAAGGACTCAGGGCGGTGTACAGCCTAATTAAAAACACAAAGACAGACAAAATTTAAAAATAATTAAAATTATTAAATAATAGGTCCAATTTATAAAACCCCAAATTTAAAATCCCATTTAAAACCAATTAAAATATTTACCTTGATAGCCCAGCCTGGCGGAACAACATGGTTTTGAGGGCACAGGGAAATAAATGGAGATCAGAGATTTTACGAATTTCTGGGGGCAGTTCATTCCAAAGGGCAGGGGCTCCCACAGAGAAGGCCCTCCCCCTAGGTGTCGCCAGCCGACATAATTTGGCCGATGGCACCCTGAGGAGACCCTCTCTGTGGGAACGAACTGGCCGGTGGGAGGCTACTGGTGGCAGAAGACGGTCTCGAAGGTATCCAGGTCCAATGCCATGGAGCACTTTAAAGGTGATGACCAACACCTTGAATCGCACCCAGAAGACCACTGGGAGCCAGTGCAGCTCACACAGGAGAGGTGTCACGAGTTGCGCCCATAACCACCCGCGCGGCTGCATTCTGGACCAGTTGGAGCCTCCAGGTGCTTTTCAAGGGGAGCCCCATGTAGAGAGCATTGCAGTAGTCCAGTCGGGAGGTGACAAGGGTGTGAGTGACTGTGTGCAAGGCGTCGCGGTCCAGAAAGGGCCGCAACTGGCAGATCAGGCGAACCTGATAAAAAGCCCCCCTGGCCACGGCCATCATATGTTCTTCTAAAGACAGCTGTGCATCCAGGAGGACGCCCAGATTGCGGGCCCTCTCTGTGGGGGGTAAAGACTCACCCCCAATAGTCAGCAATGGCACCAGCTGACTATATCGCAGCGCCGGGAACCACAGCCACTCAGTCTTGGAGGGGTTGAGTCTGAGCCTATTTCTCCCCATCCAGACCTGCATGGCCTCCAGGCAGCGAGACATCACATCAAGGGCATCGTTGGGGTGGTCTGGGGTGGAGATGTACAGCTGAGTATCATCAGCGTACAGATGGACTCTCACCCCAAAACCACGGATGATCTTACCCAGCGGCTTCACATAAATGTTGAACAGAAGGGGCGAGAGGACTGACCCCTGCGGCACTCCCCATGCAAGGTGCCTCGAAGTCGACCTCTGCCCCCCTGTCAACACGAACTTCAAGCGGTCGGAGAGGAAGGAGGAGAACCACCGCAAGACGGTGCCCCCTATTCCTAACCCCCTCAACTGCTGCAGCATGATACCATGGTCGATGGTATCAAAAGCCACTGAGAGATCTAACAGGACCAGGACAGAGGAGCAACCCCTGTCCCGAGTCCTCCAGAGATCATCCACCAATGCGACCAATGCCATTTCAGTGCTGTACCCCTGCCTGAAGCCCAACTGGTATGGGTCCAGATAGATAGCTTCATTCAGGTGCCTGGGCAGTTGTCGTGCCACCACACTCTCAACAACCTTCACCACAAAACGAAGGTTGGAGACTGGACGGTAGTTGGCTAATTCAGATGGGTCCAGGGAAGGCTTCTTGAGGAGGGGCCTCACCACCACCTCTTTCAAGGCAGCGGGAAAGGCACCCTCACTCAGAGAAGCATTTATAATCCCCTGGAGCCAGCCTCGTGTAACCTCCCGGGAGGCCAGTACCAACCAGGAGGGACACAGGTCTAATAAACATGTGGCGGCACTAATCCTACCCAGAACCCTGTCCACATCCTCAGGAGCTACAGGATCAAACTCCTCCCAGATAATGTTCTCAAGACCTACCCTCGTCTCCTCCTCCGGACTCACCCAGTCGGAGTCCAAGCCTTCCCGAATCCGAGCGACTTTATCATGCAGGAATTGCACAAAAGCCTCAGCTCGACCCTGCAAGGGATCTTCCTGCACTCCCCCCCCGAAGAAGGGAGTGGGTCACCCTAAACAAGGCGGCTGGGCGGTTCTCTGCAGATGTGATAAGAGCAGAAAAATAGTTAGATTTTGCCACTTTTATCGCCACTAGGTAGGTCTTGATATAAGACCTCACCAGTGTCCGGTCGGAATCGGATTGACTAGTCCTCCAAATGCTCTCTAGGCAACTTTTCCAACGCTTCATCTCTCTCAGCTCCTCGGAGAACCAAGGAGCCAATTGAGGTCGGCATCGGGTCAGAGGCTATAAAGGCATGACACGGTCCAAAGCCCTGGCGGCCGCCCTCTCCCAGGCAGCCACCAGGTCTTCAGTCGAGTAGTGTGCCAGGGTCTCAGGAAATGGCCCAAGCTCCGTCAGGAACCTTTCAGGATCCATCAGGCGCCTGGGATGGAACCATTTAATCGGTTTCGTCTCCCTGCGGCGGGGGGAAACGGCAGGAAAATCCAAGCGAAGAAGAAAATGATCTGTCCATGACAAGGGTTTAATGTCTAAATCCCCTCTACCAAGATCATTCAACCACTGACCAGAGACGAAAATCAAGTGTGTCTCCCTGTGTGAGTGGGTCCCTGAACTAATTGGGTCAGGTCCATGGCCACCATGGAAGCCGTGAACTCCTGAGCCACCTCTGACGCCTCACCTGCAGATGGCAGATTGAAATCCCCCATGACAATAAGTCTGGGGGTATCAACCGCTACCCCGGCAATAATGTCAAGCAGCTCGGGCAGGGTCGCTGCCACGTGGCAGGGAGCCAGGTACATAGTCAGCAAACCCATCTGCCTCCCACAGCCCCACTTCACGAGGAGGGACTCACATCTGGCTATCTGAGGGACAGTGGTCTCCCTTGGACTAAGACTTTCCCTAATAATCGCCGCCACTACCCCACCCCTCCCCTGGGCCCTCGGCTGGTGAAATGCACAGAAACCTGGTGGGCACATTTCAATGAGGGGAACCCCCCCTCGTGGCCCAACCAGGTCTCTGTAATACCAGCCAGGTCTGCACCCCCCTCCAAAATAAGATCACAAATGAGGGGGGCTTTGTTAACAACCGACCTGGCATTACCTAACATCAACCGTGAACCCAGGGCCTGAGGCCCGAGTCACGCATTGGGGGCCAGAGTGCACAATCACTTGTAGACAGAGTATGTGCACCCCTGGAACATGATATGGTCCCCTGCGCCCGTCGTATCTGCCCCTCCCACTCACTATTTCAATTGCACTGCCCTTCCCAACACCTCGTTGTTCCCCAGACAAATTTTCTTCCGTGATCCCTCTGCTGCGCCCAAGCGACCCATCATCCCACCCAGTGGCTATATGAAACCCCCCCCCCGGTCCATCTCTACAACCCCCTCCCCTCCTCCCGGGTCCCCTTAAAATTTTACTTAAAAATCCCGATAAAAAACCCCTCAACTTCCTCTTCGCTGCATGCTATCTTACATAAAGTGAGACTACAATTTATAGACCACAACAGCATGGCAGCCACAAATTAAGGCACTTTTAGGTCTAATATATTTTGACAACTCTATATTGGAAAAATCTGCATTAGATGCTGTCAAGTCTCCAATCCTATTTGGATAATAACATCACCTTCTTGAAATATTATATCTGAGTACCTCAGGAGTATCCAGTTGCTTCTATACTTGTCACTTTTATTATTATTACCCGCATCCAGTTCATGCTGTTTGCCTTTGGGGATATGGAGGATTGATATTGTATATTAAATGTAAAGATGCACCCCCAATGGCTTGCCTCAGAAATGTCACTATTTACTCAATGTATTTATTCTTTGCCTTTATATTTCAAGTGTCAAATAGCCCTCCAAGTCAAACATTTCAATTATCCAAAGAGACATTTTATTCAGGACCTTTAGTATGAAAACAATGTATGCTATCACTAAAGAGAAAGAAGTAGAGAAAGCAAACAGCTTGCTTACTGATAAACATTAACAAATGGCTCAAAATGTAGTCATCCTGTCCAATAAAGGCATATCCATTCCTCAATGTTGAGAAATAAGATCCTCCCCACCACCACCACCCAAAGTTCTCTCCAAACATATAGGAACTGCAAATCCCAGAATTCCCAGTCACCTTCTTTGTGGGATTTGGAGAATAAAAGGTTCTGCCAGGTTATAGGAAGTTGAATTAGAACAGGGGTGTCAAACTGGCAGCCCATGGGCCAAATGTGTCACATGCGGGCCAAGCCCATCTCAGCTCTGCGAAGGGGGAAAACATCATGAAACATCATGTGACGGCAACGTGATGCGGTGAGTTTGACACCTGTGAATTAGAACATTTAGTTCTGTCTTCTCAAAAGCCCTCAAGGTCTTAAGATGACATAATGGGTTCTATTACAAGAACAAATTAAGGCCACTGAAATTAAACTTTTTCTTTTCAAAAATAGTAAAGTAAACAAGTAGTAGCAGCTGTAGTAGAGATACTGTATCCCTTTTCAGTTTGCTTTCTCCAGTTGTTTTCTTCAGTGATATATTCTGCATATGCCAGAAGCTTAGTATTATACTACATGAAGTGATATTATATGCAGCATCTCAAAGATTATGACTGGTATATTTTTTAAATATATATATAATATCTGACTTACAGCTTTCTAGTTGCATTGTACATGTTTGTACATCCATGGGAAAATTCTTTAGGTCCATGGGACAGGATAAAGTTAATGTTAGCCTAAAGGAATGCAAAGAAATGTAAATATGTTTATTAAGTATGGAATTGCCGCTAAAATGAAGCCTTAATACCCACTCCTAGAAGGAAAATGATCAAAGCTTATTACAATCTATCCAATTTGGAGCTTTTTGTCACCTATTGTTAAATGAAATATTGCATTTTGTACTATTCATTTTGCAAGTAGCACGTGGTGTAGACTTGCATGAAATTTAATCCTTTGAATGGCTTCAACATTTTATTCTATGATCACTATATTCTTTTTCTTTTAGACATACAGAAACACATGCACATGTGCACAAAAAGAAAATCTAGAGCCATATCTTTTAAAAAACAAACAAACCTGATGCTTTAAACCTGTTCAACCAACATGTATGCTATCACAAAAAACTAATTATTAAAAAAAATATTATTAGTAGGCTTAGAATTAAGATGATAGTTTAATTTAGCAAAAGACCATATACAGAGATTACAACAGTGGCACCTTCAATTCCTCACCTAATCAGTGGTGGTATTCAACCAGTTCTATCCAGTTCGGGTGAACTGGTAGTGATAGTGGCTGGAGGCTCCGCCCACCCACCCAGATGTAATCACATCCCATTTTTGACAATCTGCACATGCGTGGAAGGCCCTGCACATGCGCGGAGGCGGTGTGTGCGAGTGAAGAGAGCACACATGCGCTCACATTTGAGAACCAGTAGTGAAGGTAAGTGAATACCACCCCTGCACCTAATGTGTATTAACAGATGTTTAAACATATATTTGCTATAAGATGTTGTGCTGAAATATAGTGAGGCTGATCAGTAAATAATGGCAATCAAGATCACTTGTAGTCAATGAATGCAAATAAAGGAGAGCTCATTGCAAACTCTATTTAGATAAGTAACTCAAAGTTTCTCATACAGAGAGAGGGGGCTAACAAGAGTGGGATGGTGCGGTAAGAATCCAATAAAATCTCAGTTGTAGATCAACACACTTCCTTAGAAGAGAACCACAATATCAGAAACCATTTAGGTCATGGAGTCCAAATGTCTACTCACTGCAGGACTACAATTAATGCCTTCCCAATATATGATTCTTAAATATACAATCACATTAAGGGGAAGGGAGTTAACCTTCTTAATCACTGACTCTTAGCTTCTTACTTTTACAGAACTGATATTAACATTTATCCAGAATCTGGTTTTCTGTGACATAAAACAACTATTCTGGGTTCTGCAGTCTGGGATATTAGAGAATGTCTCTCAGTCTTCAACATTTCTTCCAATAATGTTTTCTCATTACTAATATACCGTTCTTCTAGCTTCTTCTCAGACTTCCTTAAAACTAAATGCCCACATTTGGACAAAGGAATTAAGGTGAGTCTCACTCAGAATAAAGTGCAGCTACTTCTTCCCATAATTTGGAAACTAAATTGCCATTCATGTAGCCTAAAACTGTGTTTGTCTTTTTTTAGAAGACTCATCCCACTGCTGATGCACATTCAGCATATTTTGTTACTTATATTGTTATTGATTACTGTAATTTATATGCTGCTCAGTTCCTAAAAGCTCTGAGCAGCTTGCAAATGACACAAAAATAAACTGAAGTAGTTAACAGAGAAAAATAAGCAACTCCCTCCAACCCAATAAGAAGTAATTTCCTAACCATTAGAAAGTCACATCAAGGAAAGCAATCCTAGCAACAACAACAAAACTCATAATGCATGGAAGAGATCTGTCACACTGTTTGCAATAGACAGGTTTAGACAGTCTTCCTAAATGCAAACAGGGGTGATGTTGATCTACTCTAAGATGGAGCAGAGGCCAACGGACAGAGGGAGGGAGAGGGAAAGATAAAGAGCTACAGAAAAGGTATGCCTCCATGGCCCCTAATGATAGCAAACCTGCAAAGATGAGACTCAAAGAGTGCCTTCCTAACTAAATCTTATTGGATGGGCAGGAACTATTGGCAAGAAAGATTCCTAGATCCTTTTTGCCTAGATCAGATCAGGTCAGTATAGTTTCCATCTTGTATTTATGCATGTGATATATTTTTTTTGTAACTCAGGAACTTTGCATTTGTCTCTATTAAATTTCATGGTGCTACTTTCAGCCCACTTCACTAATTTATCCACTAATTCAGGCATTTGAATGCTCTCTTTTTATTTTCTAAAGACTCTTAAATATACCATCAACTTTTGTTAAATCTAATAAATAATTCTCCTTTTTCAAGGCATTAATTTAAAATTTTGAAGAGTATTAGGTCTAACTCCAAATTCTATGACTTCCCACTGATGACTCATTCTAGTTTGATAAGGAACTTTTACTGAACACTTTTGGAATACTGTATTCAAGCCACTTTTGGAATCACATTGTAAGTATACCATCCAGTCTACACTTAATTAGCTTGTTAATCAGAATTTTATTTGTTTGAACTGTACAAAGTTTGCCCCCACCCCTCTCCTAGAAGAATGAAATATTATGAGAAATATTAAAAAGGCAGAATATTATATTTCCCTAAAGGAGAAACATGCTCTTGGAAAGCAGCCCTCACCTTTCTTAATTGCTCCAAAAGGACTGGGCCAGTCTATCTACAAGACGAAAGACCTTCAGTTCCAGGGTGATGGGATTAAGACATGGCCTTTCAGGACATAATAGGACCATTTAACAGAAACACAGACCTTACTGCATTGCACAATCTTCTAAGGACATTGCATCACTCAGCAAACTTCAACCAAACCTGGAAGCTCAGACAAACATGACCCCATAGGAATCTGACAACAGCCAGTAGAATACATGTTCTTGCACAGGAAAGGAAGTTCAAGTTCAAAGCCCAAGAAAAGGTATACCCCCCCCACTCTCAATTCCATATGGTCAGTTGCCCAGAACCATGTGCTTGGTGGGTCTGCTTCACTATTAAACCATCTTTCCATTCAGCCTCCATGTTTCCAGTGTCTTTCTCCCAGCTTGGAACCGAACCAGATTGATATTTCTTCCAACAGAACTATGCAGTTGTGTTTATTTGACTTTGTCACATTTGTAGGATGTGGTACCAGAAACTCTCCTGTACTTGATTCTTCTTCTTTTTCATAATCTTTGCTAATCAGCACAAATAACATATACAATGTAAATGTATCTTCCTATCACATTAGTAACTCATCATCAGAAATAACTAACAAAAATCCACCACTCCCCTAAAATTAGATTTACTTGGCTTTTCTATTTATAGCTGTGTAGTTTTCAAATGGCATATATCTTTCAGTCATGTTTTTAACATATTACCATGTGCTACCCTATTTTTATTTATATTATACAGAGTAAAGTATCATTATACCCTGTGCAATGGAACAGTTTATAATTAAACTAGCATAATCAATAATACAGAAACACTGGAATACTTTTTGTTACTCATATGACTATACTTCTTGATTTATTAATGGTGTTTCTATACAGATAGTCCTTGATTTACAACCACAATTGAGCTCAAAATTTATGTTGCTAAGTGAGAAATTTGTTAAGTGAGTTTTGCCCCATTTTACAACTTTTCTTGCCACATTTGTTAACTGAATCACTGCAGTTGTGAAATTAGTAACACAGTTGGTTTCTCTATTGACTTTGCTTGTCAGAAGGTCACAAAAGGTGATAACATGACCGTGGGACTCTGCAACTATTATAAATGTGAGTCAGTTGTCAAAAATCCAAATATAAATCATGTGACCATGGGGATGTTGCAATGGTTGTAAATGTGAAAAATTGTCATAAGTCTCTTTTTTTAGTGCCATTGTAACTTTGAACGGTCACTAAATGAACTGTTGTAAATTGAGGACTACCTATATTACTAATTATGTAAAGACTCATGTGGTTTACAACTGTTGGGGTGCTAACCAGCACTGTCAAGAATGATAGCTAGCTTCCCAGACTGACAATATACATTCCTTATTCTAGAATCCTTTTTATGGTCTCTGAGCTTGTTTGCTGATATTTCATTACCAGAGTAGGTAACACCTTCAGTGGGAGTGGGTTTTGCTCTGTTTGTGTACAGTAGCTTTCCCTGACATAGTTGCTGGGGTGTTGGTTTCTCCTTGGTAGTTCCTTAATTAGGCTTTGTTTTTTTCTTGTTAAGTAGTAACAGCTTACTGCTAATACTGCTGGAGCTAAATGTTACCTCTATGATTTCTTTTAGCTCTGTCAGTGTTAGTTTCTCTTGGTTTTCCTTTCCTCAATAATGTTAGCGAATCTAAGGTTAGGATTAACATTGAAAGCTAACCAGCCTTAGTTTTGCCACTATTATTTTCTGCTCAGAAAAAGATAGCCACTTCAGAAATTGTGCCATGTGGCTCAGCAATGGAGCTGTCTGTCCTCCGTCACTACCCTGACCTCCTGAGCTCTTTGAATGGTAAGTGAGCAATTGGTGACTAAGGTGGGAAGGATTGCATGAGCAGGCCATGTGGTAGCCAGTGGGGCAGGATAGAAGGGGAAATAGGGGGCACACTGCAGTATCTCTCATAAGGGCAAATGACCACAGCTGTGCTGCAAGGACATAACTTCAGGACTGGGTAGTAATTACCTTTTGGAAGGTCTGTGGTAACTTTGAACAGTTGCTAAATGACTGGCTGTAAGTTGAAGATTAGTTGTACTTTAGTCTTATATTGATATTGGAGGTTTATTATTATTATTTTCTTATAAAATGGTAATAAAATGGTTATAAAACTTGAAACAGTAATTTTTCTTTGCGAATTTTTTTTAGATCTGCAAAATTCAAAGCCTGGGATAATTATAAGGGTAAATGCCATCTTATGGTCTTTTGAATTTTTTTAAATTTAATTGATTAGCCAACTTGCTACTAATCAGGGAGCGGACCTGGCGGGTATTACGGAGACCTGGTTGGGCCCAGAGGGAGGGGTCCCTCTGGTAGAAATGTGCCCACCAGGTTTCCACGCATTCCATCAGCCAAGGTCACAGGGGAGGGGTGGGGGAGTAGCGGTTATTATTAGAGAAGGCCTTAGGCCGAGGGAGACCACT